GGCCATTTAATGCCATTTTGTGTGTGTAGGTTGCATGATCTGACAAGTAGTAGTTTGGAATGAGCAACCTAGAAACTAAGGGGGTCTGCATCTTCAGAAACTGCTGCTGGAATGAGCTACAGAACTCTGGAGACCACTAGGTGGCTTCTGAGAGGGTGGCTAGTTCCAGGGCAAATCATGTTCACTGGTGGAAGAGCAATGAACAAAAACAAAGGAACAACAACAAGAAACCATTTCTTGGCCCCATTCAGCTTAGCTAGACCAAATGGTATTGGTGCGTGTGAATGATTGCAACTATGAGCATCAAGCATTTGTCTCTTACAGGTGCCAGCTAGAAAATTATCTTTTGTCCCCTTAGAATTCCCCAGGGTGACTTATGAGACCAGTAGAGGCTCTCTGTAGTGACAATTGAATAGAAGACTGACATTTCCTAACGCAACCTGCGATGAGAGGCAACGGCATTACTAGGCTATAAGGAGACAGGAACTCCACACCAGGACTCCAGGTAAGTTGAAGAATTTGGTTGACTGTAGTGTTTTTGTATAGATCAGAGATACTCAAAGAGTATATGGTAGTCCAACTCTGAGCTTCTTTGTTCCTTGGTCAAATGCTAGGTGGATCCCCCAAAGACTTTCTCACAATCACCTGAAACCTAAGATTTCCAATCCCCAGACTTCTGTGGAAAACAATTTCGGATCCAGAACAGACATCCTCTAGAAAGTTCCTGATTAGAACTCCCATCCCCATCTGAGTCTCATGTATGTCCTGGTTCAACTTTGCTGCATACTCATTTGGTAGTTATACCAATGAAAATAACAAAGTGTTAGAGTAATGTATGTTTTATGACGAAAAACAACTGAGATATGAATGCTTTACCAAATCCCTTAGCTCAGGTTTTCCAATTCTACTTCAGGGCTGTCATGAATGTCTCCTCCTTTTAAGAGTTGCCAAGAAATTCACCACACACTTTCCATAGGGGCACCTGGCCGGCTCAGTCCATTAAAAGGCTTCATTAAGGGAATCCCTGGGTGGCTCAGCGGTTTAGTACCTGCCTTTGGCACAGGGCGAGATCCTGGAGTCCCGGGATCGAGTCCCACGTCAAGCTCCCTGCATGGAGCCTGCTTCTCTCTCTGCCTGTGTCTCTGCCTCTCTCTCTCTCCTCTGTGTCTTTCATGAATAAATAAATAAAATCTTATAAAAATAAGGCTTCTTTAGCTCAGGTCAGGACTCAGGGGCCTTGGGGTTGCCCTGCCTCCAGCTCTCTGCTCAGCAGGGAGTCTACTTCTCCCCCTTCCTGTGTCTCCACCCACATTTGTGTTCTCTCACACTCAAATAAATAAAAATCTTTTAAAAACAACCAACAGTTTTTCATAACTGGTTATTCATTCCTTTGGATATCTCTTCCCTTGCAGTCCACTCTATCTCCTGAGGAAAACTGAAACTATGTCGTAATTAAACAATGATGAGAATTTGAGGGCTCCAGTGTGTTGAGGATGATCTGGGCCATAGTCTACTAAAAATCCCTGACCTGGGAGAACCACCTCAAAGGGACCACAAAATTAAATCAGAAAACCTGTATTCTGGCATTGTGGGAGTCAGTGAGGGAACAACAAACATGACATTGCGGTGTTCACGGAGTAGAGGCGAGTTTAATGCCACATTTAAGGTGAGCACAAAGGGCCTACGGAGTCATGTAAAAAATAAGGGTAGTGAGTCAGGGATGGATGCAATATCAAAGCTAAAACTTAAAGAACGAATAGGGATTAGCCAGTGAGAGGGAGAGAAGCACATTCCAAAAAGAAGGGATAGTGTATCAGTGAGGGTCCAAACAGGAGACAAACCACTTAGTAATTTCAACAGGGAACGTTTAATATAAACAATGATGAACTATAACAGTAGATCAACTATAAAGATGAGAAAAGAAATCCAAATACCCTAAGGTGCAAGATTACCCAAGAAAGATTACCGAAATGGGTAAATCCCAAGGCTGGGATTCAGGTCTCACTGAAGGAGATGTCGGAACTGCAGTCAGAGTTGCCCGGCCAAAGCTAGTCCGTGCTACTCAGCATGCAAACAGGATCTACCCTTCAGGAGTGCAGGGAGTCCTGTCTGATAAATGGATGTATAGAGAGGGTCAGGGCACAATGAGCCCACCGACCAGCAGAGCAGTGCAAGGCCTCCAGTGTATCATATGCACATGCAGAAGGATGCAACAAACCCCTTAGGGATACCGCAGAGTTAAGACTAAGGACTGGATGCAGAGAGTGAGTAGGGTGTCAAGAGCATCTGCTAGGGGCATGGTATCCATTTTAGGAAGGTCACTGGCTGGGGCCGGGACTGCATGCTCTGGAGTGCACAGCTGGGAAGAGTACTTCTGATGCTGGTGAAGGGGGGGCAGCAAGGGAGGAGGAGAAAGGAAGGAGACAGGAAGAAGAGAAGAAGAAGGAAAGGAGGAGGAGAAGGAGAAGGAGAACACAAAGACGACGAAGATGAAGATGAAGATGAAAGAAGACGAAGAAGAAGAAGAGAAGCAAACCGGAACATGGGCCAGGGCCAGTGCTCAGTCTCAGTGCTAACAGGAACAACCCTCTGGGACACAAATGAGTTGAGGTTGGTAATTGGATGCACAGAGGAAGTCAGACATACAGGACTCAAACTTCTCGGCCATCCATCGTGCTGCAATCACACCTTCTTTAGCAACTTTGGACCCCCCCCCCCCCCAAGTTGGCTCTTCTGTGGTACTGTCTTCAGACTTCTCTGTCCCACCTTTTCATTACTATCTCATCATCATTTAGTAAATCTTTATATTTACTTCTACTGTTTAAAATACTATGTCATATCTGTCTTCTGACTGGACCCAGACTAATATAGAGGCCAGGGAGTTGCACTCTTTGGATTTGTCTTCTAGAGGATCTACCATAGAGAGCACAGTTGAACTGCAGCTCAAAATGTGGACAGCTGCTACATTTTCATATCCACCATAGCACTCACACCAAGGCCTTGTGTCTCTGCTAGGCTGTGTCCAGCCAATGACTTAGCACAGAAGGAATACTAAAACCAAGTCATTTCTGTCTCCCATAGGACCCCTCTACAGGCAAGCTTCTGATGGGGACTCAAGATCAGAAAACCCCAAGGGCCTGTGCTCTGATTCTCCAACAGGGGCTTGCCCTGAGATCCACGGTACAACTTTTCCCCACCACTGACACCATGAATAGCATAGGGTCTACCGGATCCTGTGACCAAAGCAGTGAGGACTCCTAAGCACAGCCTGCACCTGCTGCACAATTCATCTGCTCTGAGACCACTGAAGTCTTGCATTCTTTAGTTTCACCAAGGCGTATGGATGAAAGGAGTACTCAGTGTAGGACAAGGTTTCCCAACCTTGTACCATGGACGTGGTGGATTGTTGTGGAGGCCTCTCTTGGGTATGTTTACCAGCACGCCTGACATCGACCCACTAGATGCCAGCAACGTCCTCAGTTGTGAGGATCGGAAATGTCTCTGGACGAATCTATTGTTAGCAGTGTCTATAGCTAATAATACTGCATTGTATACTTAAACTTTGCTAAGAGGGTAGAGCTAAGTGTTAAGTGTTCTTACCAATTAATTAATTAATTAATTAATTAATAAGAGCAGGAAGAAACTTTGGGAGGTGATGGGTAGGACTATGGCTTTAAGGCATTGATGATTTCACAGAGGCCTATACTTATCCACAAACTCACTGAATTCAATACATTAAGTATGTACAGCTTTTGACATGTCAAAAAACATGTCTCCAGACACTGCCAAATGCTCCCTGAGGAGCAGAATTCTTCTCCCACCACCCCACTCCCACCCAACGCATTGAGAATTAGTGGTGTAAAATATGCTACCTCCAGAACCCAAAGAGGTCTCCCAGTTTCTGTCTTTGTGAAAAGGTATTCAAAATGTGGCAATTTTTCTTTCACTCCTGCGAGAATATCCTGGCATGCCCACTAGATGCCTCAAAACTTCACGGATATGTCAATTCATGCCGTCTTACCAAGGGCCCAAAGCATTATAGCCTCTTACTGCTCCTCATGTCAAATCAGCATGGTGTCAATATGATAGGCCAATGAGATATTCTGGGGATGTTCAAATGGTCTAGCTCCATGAGTTAATAAAACGCTGAGGCAAATGAAATGAATGGACACTTTGCCTATACTCTATGAATATGAACTATTTCTGATTCACTAGCGGAATAGAAAAGAATGCATTTGCCAAATCAGTGGTGACATACCATGTACCTGACGTCTTATCAATCTGTTCTGGAAGCAATAAGAGGCCCACAATAACTATGACTGGAACTACTCTTTGCTTAAGTTGACAGTAACTACAGATATTTGCCACAATCTATCCAGTCTCTGAATGGGCCAGACTAGTGAATCAAGCAGAAATGTGATAGAGCTCACCAGCCTTTCATCCTTTAGCACCATCCCACTGCATCTCTGCTAGGATGCAGGGTTGTTTTTGGTTTACCCTACCAAATGAAGGCTTGGAGACAGTTTCAGAGGTTTCTGCTTGGACTCTCTAAATTTTTTTTTTTAATCAATTATATTTCCTTATTCAGGAGAAACACAGAAAGAAAGGCAGAGACATAGGCAGAGGGAGAAGCAGGCTCCAAGCTGGGAGCCCGATGTGGGGCTCAATTCCCGGACTCTGGCATCATGCTCTGAGCTAAAAAAAACTCACAATTTTAACAAGAAACACTTTTAGCTACTGTAAAATCATACAGAAAAAAAAAAAAACAATTGCAAAGGACATCAATCTATATTACAAAGGATTCTGAATTATACTATACAATGTTCTTCACCTTGTCCTGTCAGAATAATTGTTTTCTACCTAACCAATCACATGCTGACATTTTTCACTATACTTATAAATTAATACTCTTAAGTTAAACTTTCTGCCTTGAGAAATTGTTACCACTCTTGACCAAATACTAAGATTCACAAAAAAAGAAAAAAAAAAAAAAACTTTACCTTTTAGCGTAGTCAACTGCATTTATATTTGCTTCTTCTACTAAAAATGCCACCATTTTCTCTTTTTTTTCATTTACAGCAACTAAAAGTGGTGTGAGGCCATCCTGTAGGAGTGCAAACCAAATTTATAATTTACAAAATTACATATTTGGATAATGAATCGTAAAAATTCTGAACGATCCTGTAACTTAAACATGTAACATAGAAAGTAAATAAAATTAGCCCCTTTGTTCTCAACCCTCCATGGTTTCACCAGCTGCTCCTTCTTTTTAAAATACTGCTTTCTCAGGGAGCCTGGGTGGCTCAGTTGGTCAAGCATCTGCCTTCAGCTCATGAGCTCAGGTCATGATCCCAGGGTCTCAGGAGGGAGTCCCACCTTGGGCTCCCTCTGCAGCAAAGAGTCAGCTTCTCCCTCTCCCTCTGCTCCTCCCCTCCACTCGTGCTCTCTCTCCTGCTCGCTCGCTGTCTCTCTCAAAAACATAAAATCTTTTTAAAAAGTAAAATAAAAATAATAAAATAGACCTCCTCTTCCTCTTCAACAGATTACCTGCAGTCATTCCACAAACTCGCTTCAAACATTGCCTGGCTCCAAGAATCTTTGCTTCTCTCACAATATATATCATGGTATACTCTAGTTATTTTATTCCACACCATCTAAACCAAAAGCTTCTAGAGGGGAGGGGTTATTTTTTATCTCTGTATCTCCACTCTCTAAAACATAGTAGTAAATATTTAAAGTATTGTTATGGATTTTAATGTATATCTCCGGAGTAGTGTTTCTTCAATTATATTCCAAAGAACACATGATTTGCGAGAGATACTGTGCCCCAAAACAAAGATTCAATGATCATCTATGTTTGTGAAATATTACAAAACTGCACTATACATCTAGCACAAATGAACTCATTTACATTTGCTTATCCCCATTTGACAATTCCTTCTTTTGTAGCAAACATTAATACTTGAGAAATAAGAGTTCCCAGGGATATAGTTTTAAGAACTTTCCAATAAAGGTAAGGGTTTTCTCCAGGTTGTACAAACTTTCTGGATTCTCTTCTATCAATGGTATGGGGATCCCAGATGTCAACATTAAACACTCCAGCTCCAAATGAGTCACTAAGGAGATGGACTCTGAATGAAAAGAGCTAGGTTTCAGGGCAGCTGGGTTGCGTAGCCAGTTGAGTGACTCTTGGTTTTGTCTCAGGTGTGATCTCAGGGTCGTGGGATCCAGCCCCATGTTGGATTCGGAGTTCCCCTGGCACTCAGCACCAAGTCTGTTTAAGACACTCTCTCTCCCTCTCCGCCTCCCCAACCCCCCACAAGCCTGTGTATGTGTGTGCTGTCTCTTTAAAATACATAATCTTTTAAAAATTAAAAAGAAAAGTAAATAAATAAAAATAAAAGACACAAGCTTCAAATGAATTTTGACCACTTAATACTAAATAATCTTTGGTTAAGGTGGGCACACAATGAGATGAGCACTCGGTGTTATTCTTTATGTGGGAAAATTGAACTCCAATAAAAAATTGTGTTTTTGTTTAAAATAAACAATAAAAACAATAAAATATTAAAAATAAATAGTCCTTGGACTTTCTCCAATTATACCATGATAAAGTTGTTTTTTTTTTAATTTTTATTTATTTATGATAGTCACAGAGAGAGAGAGAGAGAGAGAGAGAGAGAGAGAGAGAGGCAGAGACATAGGCAGAGGGAGAAGCAGGCTCCATGCACCGGGAGCCCGACGTGGGATTCGATCCCGGGTCTCCAGGATCACGCCCTGGGCCAAAGGCAGGCACTAAACCACTGCGCCACCCAGGGATCCCCCCATGATAAAGTTTTATCTTAACTGATAGAAAGCTCAGTATGAGATTTTTCTCATTTTTACCCTTTTATTCAAATTCATTTCCATATATCGTACTATTAGTTTCAGAGGTAGAAGTCAGTGGTTCCACAGTCTTATGTAACACCCAGGACTCATTCCATCATGTGCCCTCCTTAATGTCCATCACCCAGTTATCCCATCCTCCCACTCCACCCCTCCAGTGACCTTCAGTTTGGCTCCTATGATTAAGAATCTCTTATGCTTTGTCTCCCTCAGTCTCTCTGGTTTAAGTTTTTCTCTTCTTCCCCTTCTCCTCTGTCTTGTTTCTTAAGTTCCACATATGAATGAGATCATATGATAATTGTCTTTCTCTGACTGACTTAGGGTATTACGCTAACTGAAATAAGTTCATGAAATTTTATTCTCAACTATACTCATTCTGAGAACCGAATGCACATCTACTTCTAAAAAAAACCTGTTTGTATTCTAGCTTCTATTATCATTGCTATTTATGATTATTTTATAATTTAGACTAAGTGTAAATCAGAAATAAAAATGTCATGACTTACCAATAAATATTCTAATACTAGATGAGCACTGGGTGTTTACATGTTGGGAAACTGAGTTTAAGTAAAAACTACTATTCAAAAATTCTAATACTCCTTTATATGGATTATTTTTAGTATAATAAAAGCTACTATATTAATTGCGTATTTAGGGAATATTACCAAGGAGAAAGAGAATACTGTCTGAAATATGCATAATCTATCCAAGGAGAACCAGGATTAACCTCATATGTCTTGCAGATATTCCAAAAGGAACATGATTACTGTACATTTAAAGAAAAAATGGTTTTCAAAAAAACGACTTTCAATTCCTAACTTAGAAAATTCATCCCAAGGCACCTGGGATGAACCTCGACTCAGAGGCTGAACATCATGATCCCAGGGTCCTGGGATCGAGCCCACATCATAGAGAGATGATGCCTAGAGAGAGCCTGCTTCCCCCTGTGCCTAGCTCTCTGCCTCTCTCTGTGTGTCTCTCATCAATTACTGAATAAAGTAATGACAAAAATAAGGAGACAAAGAAACAGAAAATTCAATCCCAATCCTAAGAAATTAACATAAAATACAAAATATATATTGTAAATTAATATGGAGTGTCTTGAAAATCTTGAAATCTCTGTCAACATATACCATAAAACAGTAATTGTAAACTCAATGCTTATGGAGGCAAAGCAGGTGACACGAGTCAGTGAAGTACCTAGGCGGGGACACGAGCAAACTGGAGACACACGCCTCATATAAAGGGACAGCCTCTGCACAGCATACCAAACAGCAGCATGGGCTCAAGGTACCAGAAGTGATCTACAAGAAAAGCTCAAAATCCAGAGTTCTACATGCGTGTCATAATTTTAAATGTTAGCTCAACTGACAGTGGAAACTAAATACATCCGGGGGCCACATTTAGTCTATAGCCTACTTGTGTTTTTCTATTTGCCGTGACTGTTTCCAATGGCCGTGCGTAAAACAAATACTTGGACATCAAACCTTTCCTAAAGCATCAGGATCATGTTTTACCAACAAATTAGGCCCCACCTTCTAAGGAAAATTGCTGTGAAGACTCATTAACACCTACTGTCAGAATTTTCCAATGCTTGTTTCAACTGCAATCTATTTCTATTTACTTCCCTCAGATTGCTAACCGAACAGACAGGAGGTCAGAGGAATGCTGAAGCAAAGTTATTAAAACAATTACCATCTGTATTGTCACTAACTACATGCTGAATGTTTAACACAGTAGTGACTATGCCAGGGCCCTATGAATTTGAAAGACATCCTAAGATAGTCTATCGCACAGCTTCAACTGAAAAAGAAGGTTCACGGGTTTCTACTGCTGCAATTGGAAAAACCCTGCTTGTAATAATCACAATGGTAGCAAAACATGTAAAATCTTTAAAGGGTCAGACTCTACTTATTATGAGACTACTCATAAAGACTTCCCATCTGGGTGTCGGTGAATGACTGATAGTTGGAAGAAAAGGTAATTATTTTTCAAGCCAACAGAGATGACCAATAATTTTCATCTATAATCTCAAAGAGATACAGACGGATGAAAGGCTAATAATGTTTTAGAGAGTGGAAGGATGTAGCCAGTATCAAACATCAGCTTTTTTTTTTTACATCTCTAAATTTGTATATGTATACCTACCCATTCAGTAGTTCTTAGCCAAGCGCTGTATCAGAATCTCAAAAACTATTTCCAAATTTCTGCGTACACACGTTATTGGATTCACTCCGTCAAAATCTTCACGGGACAGTTTTGGCTTGTAAATTCTTTTAAAGTTCCCTAGTTGACTGTGATTCACCAGCACGAGTCTAGCTGAGAACTAGTACAGTACACAACCATGGCAGTCTCCTCTTTCACTTATGTGGCCAATTCTCCCTATCACTTGAGGATGCAGCCAAAAACTGAAATGAGTCACTTATCAAACCTACATTCAATTTCCATGGCTAGAGGTAGAACAAGGACTAGTAAACTCAAACTGCAACTTGATTCCATTATTTACACACTCCTTACTTCCTTCCCATCAAGACATTCTAGATTTGCAAGCAGAGTTTAGACTCTTATCTAAGAGGCTATAGCTGCAAAATACTAAACTGTGTTCTTTCCTCTTCTTGTCCAGTTTTTGTTTTTTTAAGATTTCTGTTTATTTATTCATGAGAGACCGAGAGAGAGAGAGAGAGAGGGAGGGGCAGAGACACAAGGAGAGGGAGAAGAGGGCTCCTCCATTCAAGGAGTGCCATCTGGGACTCAATTCAGGAGACCACGGGATCATGCCCTGAGCCAAAGGCAATTAGCTTACACAATCATTTCAAAATATTTTCATTCAGGACATGCTTGAGCTTCCAAATATGAAAAATTGACCCTATCTATGGCATACAACAGTGTTTCTGCAAGAGCAGCGACTGAAGGTAATGCACGTCAAAGAAAGCACACGGAGACTGGCAAGTGTGCTCATCACCAGCTCCCCATGGACACCTACCACCCCACTGAGGAACTACATAGGCTGAGCAGGAGCTACTCTCCGGAATGGGAGGCCTCACCGTGGTACATGGCTGGCAGATTGGCTACCAGCACAAGCAGATACCACCTGTAGGATGTCATGACCTGATCCCCCTGCTCTCATCTTCTGAACCTTAGGGCCTAGAGCGCCCAAGGCCTATTACAACCTGCTGCTTTCTCCTCCCATTTACATTCACCCAAGCTACTCCTCTGGGTCACGGTCTCCTACTCATCCCCAGAGGCATCCATTTCCTAAGCCCCTGCACAGCTTTCGGCCTCCATCATCACCACACTCCCCACTAGGCCTTCAATCCTTTGTGGGCTCTGAGGGCACCATCTGCTCCCAGGCATTCGTGGGAAGATTTTCTTTCTGGGGTAGAAGGGTGGCTAGCAGACAAAATGTTGCCTTTCTACAGGCATTACTTTTCTCTTTCCCACCCCCTGCCTTGGTTTGCAGTTGTTTCCAGGATGACAGGACCTGCTGTATAAAATTCAGTGCCGATGTCTTCATATATATATATGTACCTATATACATATATACGTACATAAACAAAAAAAAAAAACATTTGCAGCTATTTTTATTTACTTATTTGCTTATTTATTTACTTTTTTATTTATAATGTAAATTACGTTGTAAAAAAAAGTTGACCTGTACCTTGTTTTTGATCTCCACATTTCCTTTCCTTAAAAGTACTTTCTGTGCTATTGTGACATTCTCCCCGAATGCCGCATAATGGAGAGCAGTGTTGCCCTTGTTGTCTTTTACATCAGGATTAGCACCGTGTTTCAGCAGAATATCTACACATGCCTCTTCTTGGGATTGTACAGCCTGTGAGCATTATAACAAGAAACAGAAGTAAATTCTGGGAACTTAAAGGAAACATGCCACAAGTTTCACCAATGAGTTATGTTTAAATGCAACAAATGTTCATTCCAAGGACTTCAATCCAATCCACCTCAGGCAAATATAGCTGTGACCACGCACCTTCATTAGAGCTGTCGTGTTTTCACCATCACGGAGGTTTAGCTGGCATTTCCGATCTATCAGGAGCTTCACGATATCTACATGGCCATTGGCACAGGCCAAGTGCAGAGCACTCCTGTGAGCGTGAAAGGACTTGTCAGGAAATTACAGTGTACCTTTTCAAAAATTGCAAATTAATTCATAGAATTGTAAATGTTAAATACTCTGTTATTCTCAAGACCCCAAAACAAACAATTAGTTTACTTTGGAAGAAAGTACAATACTTATTAGTGATTATTCACCACTCTATTAAAAGAGCAGCCTATCTGTTTAGGAAGAGCATGACCTCAGGAGGCAGCTCAACCTGGGTTTGATTCCTACTTAACTCTGTCGCTTCACTGTGACCACTTAGCCTTATCGCAATTTCCTCATCCACAAAATGGGCACAAAAATAGTTATCTCAGGTCGCCTGTCTGGCTCACTCTGAAGAGCATGTCACTCGATCTCGGGAGCCAGGGGTTCGAGACCCCTGTTGGTTATAGAGGTTACGAAACAATAATAAATAAAATAAAAGGTAGTTATCTCACAAGACCTCTTGTCATGATCCTTAAATGAGGATCCATGCAAAGTGTTTAGAATACTAGTTCCTAGCACACATATTATTATAGCTATTACTACAACTTACAAAGACCCACTACAATGAGGTAAAATGATCCAATTATGCCTACTTTGCGGCTACGTTTAAGGATGAGCAAGAATACTCTATTTCAATGATTCCAAGATGCTCATTTTGTCACCTTTTAATACCTCTGACATTGGAATCCAATTTCTAATTCAAAATGTCTTAAAACTATAACTGGCATGATTTTTAAATATTTCTTCTTGGTACATAAATAGTGGGGCATCATACAATCTACGGTGTGCCTTAAGTGAAATAATGACATATACAACAATATACAACAGGTCTGTTGCACTTCTAGTCCTATGCTTGGAATTACACTGTTCAAGAACTAAAATAATTTTCAGTAGTTGAAAGCACATTACGGGTAAAAGAGACTAAAATAACAAAAGAATAATTGTAAGTAATTCTTAGTTTGGTTTTCAAGGAAGTTTGAGCCAAAGGAAACTCGGATTTCAAATAAACGGGCACAGCTCATTTTACTTTTTTTGGGGGGGGATGTGGGGAAGCTCATTTTATTAAGCATTTCAATTAATAGAAAAATGTTTAGAATCATAGAAATCAAGTTATTTCCAATTACCAATATTAGTATTTAATATTATTGAAATGTCAAAAGGGCAGGTAAAGGTAATCTTTTACAATTTCTGATCTTCAGAAATGTTTTCCTTTGACAGGAAGTTCCAAGGAAAAGCTTCAGGTGAGATTAAGTCCTAATACTTCCATTTAAAATTTCTCACCTTAGGGGCACCCGGGTGGCTCAGGTGATTGAGTGTCCAACTTTTGGTTTTGGCTCAGGATGATCTCAAGGTCGTAAGACGGAGCCCCACATTAGGCTCCATGCTCAGGGTGGAGTTTGCTTGGGTTCCTCTCTCCCCCTTGTCCCTCCCCTCTCCCATGACCCTCTCTCTCCCTTTAAAATAAATACATCTTTTAACTTTTACAAAATAAAATAAAATCTCTCATCTTAGGAGTGCCTGGCTGGCTCAGTCAGTAGAGCATGTGTCCTTAAACGTCAAGCCCCACGTTGGGTGGAGAGATTACACTTAACAATGAAAGCTTTAAAACCTAAATACATAAAATTTCTCATCTTGCTCATACTGGGCAACATGAAGTCTTTTTAAGATTGAAAAGATCCTGAGTAGACTATGTCTGCTACATAACCCGTGTTCAGGTTCTGTTTGAGAAATAAATGGACTGAAGAATAAATACATTTGGAGAGTTCAATAGTTTTTAAGATTTATCTATTTCTTTGAGAAAGAGAGAATACATGAGTGCGGTGAAGGGCAGAGGGAGAGGGAGACAATCTCAAGCAGCCTCCCCATTGAACATTGAGCCCGACGGGGGGGGGGGGGGGGCTCAACCCCACAATCCTAAGATCATGACCAGAGCCAAAATCAAGAGTCTGATGCTCAACAAACAGCCACCAAAGCACCAGGAAAGTTCAATATTTTTAAAGAAAAGTTTTGTAAAGTAAACTAATACTTTTGAAATAGCAATAAAAACTTATATTTGCTACTTTTTTCAGAAGAGGGAAACAACAAAAGTTCTGTAAGCTATCACAGTATCATTTGTATTTTTTATTTTCATGAGGATTTAACTAAAATAAAATTTTATTGTTAATCATTTACTTATTGCCTGTTATAAAGCTGCACATAACAAAATCATACGTATATATATAATGTATGCATAATAAAATCTACATACAGATAAAAATATTCCCCTTAGTTCTGAAGAGGTTGTCAGAAAATACCAATCCTCGCGCCCATCAATTTTTTTTTTTAAATAGAAAGAAGGGCACCTGGGTAACTCAGTCAGTTCAGTTAGGCATCTGCCTTTGGCTCAAGTCATGAACCTCGGGGGTCCTGGGATCGAGTCCTACATCATCAGGCTCCCTGCTCCACGGGGTTTCTGCTTGTCCCCCCGCCCCTCCCTGCTGCTTATGTGCCTGATTTCTCCCTCTCAAATGAATCAATGAAACCTCTTAAAAGTAAATAAATAGAAATTCTTTTTGCCTACACAAGATTCATATTCTTGCTGTTCTCCTGGATTACTTCATTGATAATAAACCTTTGTTGGAATTTTTGTATACCTTTTCCTGTAGAAATCAGACTTTTTTTAAGAAACAAGAAAAATTCACTTACAATCCAAATGTTTCAAGATAACTAATTTTATATTTTTCACATCTTTTTGGCTAACACAAAACCATTGTCTGCTTATGTGTTTGTATCATCAAACCATTTTTCCCCCTCATTTAATGATCCACTAAAGTACAGCTTTGCATGTTAATGTGTATCAATTATCTTTGCCACATTGAGTGGTCACATAGTAGTCCAGCCTATGGATACACTGCCACTTATTTATAAAGGCCATTAAATGAGTTCTTAATACACTGCTATTGTAAATAGTGCTGAGAAAAGCATATTGTATATTGTTTATCTTTAATTATTTACTAAAGATATTTTAAATCAATAAAATTCATGGGTAAAAGGAATACATATTTTTCAATTGGGACTTAACCACCGAACTATCTGAAAAGTCAAAAACAACTTTAACCAGGAGTATGAGTACCATCATTCCTTATCTTCACAAAGCCTGCAGATGGAAAATGGGATTTTACTCCTTTTTTATTTTAGATTTTTTTTTTTTTTTGACACAGAGAGAGCACCAGCAGAGGGGAGGGGCCAAAGGAAAAGCAGATTCCCCACCTAGCAGGGAGCCTCACCAGGGGCTGAATCCCAGGACCCAGAGATCATGACCCTGAGAGGAAGTCAGAAGCAGCCAACTGGGCCACCCAGAGGCCCCCCCTATTTCATTCCTTTAATACCTTCCCTGTAAAACAAAGACATTTTTTTTTATCTGATACACATATGTTGTAAATATTTTGCAAGGACATTTTCTTTTATTTTATTAATATTATTTTCTGATATACAGTGAGTTTTAATTTTTTATGTGGCTGAATCAACCTCCAGAACTCTTGCTTTTATTTTATTTTATTTTTTAAGATTTTCCTTATTTGTGAGAGACACAGGGGGAGAGAGGGAGGCAGAGCACAGGCAGAGGGAGAAGCAGGTTCCATGTAGGGAGCCCGACGTGGGACTCGATCCTAGGTCTCCAGAATCAGGACCTGGGCTGAAGGCAGCGCTATACCGCTGAGCCACCTGGGCTGCCCGAACTCTTGCTTTTAAAGTCATTCTTAAGAATGGTCTTTGTCAACATAAAAAATGGGCATAGAAGCGTTCATGTTTTCTTCTCTTGTACTGTATTTTGCATATTTAACATTTTTAATCTGTATTCCATCTGGAACTTATTTTTATGAGATAAAATTCTAGCTAGTTTTCTCCAAAGGGCAGATATGTCATCAACATGATGAATGATTCACCTTTTCCTACTAATATGAAATGTCACCAGCATCAAGTTATAAAGTCTTAACATATACTTAGGTGTTTGGCATTTTCTTATCTGTTCCATTCATTTATCCGTCTTTTCAGCTGTTAGTCAACGAATACTTTGAGGAAATTTAAGGTACGTTTTAATAACTGGAAGGTATTCTATAAATTTTTTTTCAAGTTTTCATTTTAGTTCCAGTTTGTTAACATACAGCGTTGTATTAAGTTCAGGTGTACAATATAGTGAGTGATTGCAAAACTTTTCTTAATTTTATCACAATGAAAAGAACAGAGACCGCACGTATAAGCTCAAAATTTCTAAAACCATAACGTTTCTATTGCGTCATGGAATACTGATAAACACGGGAAGAGTACACATTTTCAGAAAAATGAGACTTCCTATTCACAGACAGAACCATCTTCCCAATTCCAAATCTCCTCCCAAGGTCCCTCAGTAAATAACATAGGTACAAACTGTACACAGATATAAGTCAGATACTGCCCTGTATCCAAAGTAATTCTGGGAATTACTTCTCTCAGCATGCACTCTTTAATAACATTGGTATAAGATGTCCATTAAAAACAAAATACTATATACACTGAATTTCATTTCTTTTTTTAAGATTTTAGTTATTCATGAGACACTGACAGAGAGGCAGAGACATAGGCAGAGGGAGACGCAGGCTCCGTGCTAGGAACCTGACTGGGGTTCCCAGGACCCAGGATCACAACCTGAACCAAAGGCAGATGCTCACCCACTCAGCACCCAGGCGTCCCCTTAATTTCCTTTCTACTGTTGAAAACCCGTTAAATCACGTCAAAACTGTCTGTAAAGTGCTCCCTACGGAGAATTCTGAACGGGTCCAAAGGCAGCTGAAGACGTTTTGCTGCTCAGTGGGCCAGAGTAGACCCCAGGTAAGGTTCCACGACCTAGGTACGTGCTGCGGGGCCACCAGAAGAAAGCCGGCCAAGCGCCCTGGGTGGTGACCCAGGGCTCAGCTCTCCAGACTCAGGCCAGCAAGGTGAGCGCCTCACCCCGTCCACCCTGCCTCCTCCCCGCCAGCTGCAAAG